ATATATATAATATAAAGGAACAGCGTGGCACACGTCTCATGGGGCTCCTCAGAGCATCCCTCTCCTCTTTAGCCCGGAGGAGTCAAAGAATTTCACCTATGGGTCCATCTGACCTCAGATCGGTTTCTCACGTTGCCTCAGTCGCGCAGAGAACACGGCGTTTCCTCTCTGTATGAATGACCTTTAACCTGCAGGTGTGGACGTCACTGCCAGACCTGCTCCAGCCTCCCTCTCTTCTTAACCTCAGTCATAGTTCAGGAGCAGTTTCAGGTGTGGCAGAACATCGACCTCTGCATCATCCAATCACCTTCACCTTCCACACAGCACTCACCTGACATTCTCCTAACCCCGGGAACCCTACCGATCCCCTCTGGCACCCCTAACTTCTTGCTGCCCTGGATTTCCCAGCTCTGGCTCCTTAAGACCCGATCTGATAACAGAGCTTTTCATCAGACGGGTCGTGACAGGCAGCGAGTCCTGGAGGTGCATGGACTGATCTCCATCACAGAATCACGCCTGTGCTTAATGCTTTGCTGTCTGAGGGTCTGAAGATCACAGGCCTGCAGGTTTGTTCCTGCACACAGAGACTTCTCCAGGTTATTTTGATGGCATTGTGCACACGATGACATATTCAAGTCTAGATGTAGTGTTGTTGCAGTTTGGTGAATGTGTGCGTGCTCTCCAAGATTCCACTCTTCCTCCAGCAGTGTATTTTTATTTTTCATGAAACTGAAAATGACCCAATTTAAACATCTGATAAATAAAATCGAAGAAAAATAGCATGTTTATAAAACAATCTATTTTTTTTTTGTGTCCCAAAGTTTGATATAACATCCATGTGGAGCACACGGGGTGAAACACTAAAATTACTTCCACCTGGTGACAGTAGCCCCCCCCCAAAGCTAGCATGACTCTGACCAAAATGCTAACTTTGCATCTTCAGAACCCATGGGTAACAGAGGCAGTGTCCATCTTTTATATACAGTCTGCATTGTGCAGGCAGGTGAAGCTCGGTGAAGATGAAACTGGTTGCAGCAGGGTTTGTGATTTTTAAAGTTTTAAAATGAATTTTAGCTCTTGGTGACCTCACAGCGAGTCCCCTTCAGTCTCATTATCAGTCCACATACTTCTGAACACTCGCAGTTCTGAACACCTGCCGTCAGCTGATTATCCACGTTAGACAAAGTTTTAAATGAGTAACTAACTTAACTTTCCAGGTTTACATGAAAACCTGACAGATTCAGGCCCCCACTCTGGACACGAGCGCCTCATATCTGTGTGTTGGAGTGAACGGCGTCGCCGAGCTGAAAGAAAACAAGCTAAACTTGTTTGAAGCTGTCAGTGTTTCGTGCAGGCGTGCCGTCTTCTCTGCGGCTTCGTGCTTTGTCCTTTTGAAAGCTGAAGTGAGTGGAGAGATGAGTCAGACGCTCTTCAGTCCGACCACGCTGCCGGATTTCAACGAGCGCGTAGGCGACAGAAGCGAGCGGCGTGTTGGCAGCTTGGTGGCAGATGGTCGGCGGGCGGACGACCTGAATCCATTCACAGAGCTCAGACATGAATGAAGACAAGCACATACACAACACACAATCCAGTACCTCCAGAAACACCAGAGAACTGCTGTCAAGTGGGAGGTTTTCTTTCCTCCATTCATCCTTTCACATCCTTTATTTTACAAGCACAGTTTGTTGGGAACATGCCGTCTCCTCCAGAGGAAAAACCTTTGCACACTTTTCAGCACCTCTTAATAAATTAAACAGAATCTAAGTCTTTCTGAACAGTAAACAGCAGAAAAGAATCCACATCTGGTGGTTACCAGCTGTTTACCAGACGCAAAGCAAAACGGTGAGCGTTGAAATGTCCTGCTGTGGAATGACGTCATCGATAACCACAACCGCGCTGTCAGATTAAGGCCCTTTTGACCTTTGACACTAACGTTTGTTTTTGCGTTGCAGGCGACTCTATGAGCCTGCTTGCCCTGAGACACTTTCACAAAATCACAACGAAACGTGAAGCAGAATCCTGACCCGCTGATGGAGGAAATGATGGGGTTTCACGCTGGAGCGGTACCACGGGTCATCGTGGCGAAGTCTTCAATGCTGTTTGAATCAGCACAGTTTGGATTCTCCATCAGCTGACGCAGAGCTCATCGGAATCATCACTTTAAGAACTGAAGGCCAGTCAGTCCTGAAAACCTCTGAATGTGTCCCCAAGTGCAGTCCCAAAAATCATCAAGCTCTACGAGGACACTGGCTCCCATGAGGAAAGGAAGACCAAGAGTCACCTCTGCTGCTGAGGATAAATTCATCCGAGTCACCAGCCTCAGAAATGGCAAGGTAACAGCAGCTCAGATCAGACACATCTCTACATCAGCTGTTCAGAGGAGACTGTGAATCAGGTCTTTATGGTCAGGACAAAGGAAAAGCAGCAAGCAGGAGCAAGGAGTGGACATGAGACCAGTGCACATCTGTGCTTTGGTCTGATGAGTCCAAATTTGAGACCTTTGGTTCACCCACTGTGTCTTTGTGCCACACAGAAAAGGTGAACGACGGTCTCTACATGCATGGTTCCCACCACGAAGCATGGGGCAGGAGGTGTGATGGGGCACACTGAACCACAGCATCCTGCAGCCACATGTCATCCCATCATTTATTTAGGACAAACAGCCGACATCGGACTTAGTTTGACTCGTCTGTCCTTTAGTTTCTCACAGAGCTCATTTTGCCCACTAAACACTAGCATCCTGCTAATGCGTGCCGACTGGTCGGTTTAGGACAGGACGTCCTCCCTTGATGGTGCCCGTCTCAGGAAGTGCAGTTCTCCGTTATTTCTCTGGACATTTGTGACCATCACAAGAACATCGTCTATGTTCTCTGAGAACATTTCAAAGAACCTGGACGCTTTATAGCGTCGTTGTTTAGGAGCTCACGGACTCCAGTGTAGAAAGTGCCTGAGAGAGACACGGCAGACTTCGGCTGGTTTACATCTAGGGCTGCCACAAACGATTATTTTGATAGTCGACTACTCAGATCATCATCCATTGAACGTAAAACGTACAGCTTATTGCACCAGCAGCATCTGCTCTTATATAACTATCATTAGCTTACAGCTTTAAGTGTTTCAGGTCTGTGCTAACTAAAAATAAAGACAAGATGATAGTTTATTAAATTTTAATGAAATTTGCAGATTGTTTCGGTGGAGTTGAGTAAACTGATTTACTCAGGAACAAATAAAATACTTAAAAAAGCCAAACAATAACATTTTGAAGTTATCTAAGTGACTCATATATCATGTTTAACCTGAGTAGCGAAAGACGGCGGTGGGTTTGAAAACGATCTGCCGGGAGTCCGGTGTTCTCACGGCTCTAGTGAGCCTAGCCCCCGGCTAGCTATCGAGCTAGTGGGTAACAGACGTCTCCGAAAACGTCGGAGCGCTTTTGAAAATATGTGGTGTCTTGATTAGGGATGGGTATCGTTTAGGTTTTATCCGATACCGGTGCCAAATCGGTACTTTTGAAACTGTGCCGGTGCTCAAACGGTGCTCAAACCGGTGCTTAAAGAATGGAGAACACAAAATTGGTCCAAAAACCTCTCATGTTCAGCTGGTTTTTGTAAAAAGATAACAATGTTAGCCTTTTCTGCAGCTATGGGGCATATATGGTATCACTCTTGGCTGGAAGCAGTGCTTAAACAATGGAAAAAACACAAACTTTGTCCAAAAACCTCTCATGTTTAACTGTTTTCCACTTTTTCTTTGGTCATTTTAGCCTTTTTAGCCAGGGTGAAGGGAGCATCTGCCATCAAACAAGAAGACAGCCGCATGTAGCTATGATGATGTTTGCTAGTTCACCTTACATGCATTAATGTAATAACGTGGTTAGCCTACTCAACGTAAATTACACACGAACAACATTAAGCTACTCACGCAGAGAAGAACGGCAGCTGCTGCATCATCATCCGTCATCATTTCTGCTACACTGGCAGGGCTAGGGGCCAGGACTCTCCTCTTCGTGTTTTTGGGGGATGTTGCATAACAGGCAACCCACCCGCAGTAGATGTGCTCGGTGTGAGGTCTCGCAGCAAGCTATCAAATACGGCGCATTTCTCGGCTTTAAAAAAAAATGCTATGCGTCGCCAGGTGTTTCATCGGATTCTTGGTGTTACCTCCTTTGACAGTATCACAGTATCAGCTTAAAGCACTTGTTGCTGCTGAGTTTGCATCTTTTGCTGTGAAGTACAGCCAGACTTTTGACCGCTTCGCCTTGGACATTTTTAATCTGTAGCTCTGCTCTAACTGAACGTACGTACCTGGCCCCGCCTACTATCCTCGGAAACGTAAAATGATTGGCTAGAATCTAAAGTGTATCACAGCTCAGGAACAAAAAGCACCGAAATAAAGCACCGAAATGTGCGCTGCTTTTCTGTCTGGTTACTACCGTTTATGTCAGATGATGGCACCGGACACCGGTACCCATCCCTAGTCTTGATAAACTGAGCAGATATTTGAGGTTTACACAGCTACATTCTCGCCTGAAAATATGTTAAACGTTTATTTTGTGACCCAGAAAGAATAATAAGAATAATATTAAAACTAACCAGCTGCCGCCATTGTTGGAAACTGAGCAGGGCTGCGCTATGAATTCTGGGACACAGCTTCTTCTTCTTCGGGGTTTAACGGCAGCTGGCATCCTTGTACATGCAGTGCTGCCATCTTCTGTTTAAGTCCGTTATTACACTCTTAAATCCTGCTACTTATTCCTGCGTCTTTTGAGATCTTACAAAGCTTCAAACGACGCGTCGACTATTAAATCAGTCGTCGACGATTTTAATAGTCGACGTAATCGTGACTAGTCGACTAATCGTGGCAGCCCTATTTACATCACTATCGATCAATCAGCACTCAGTGACCTGTTATTGTTCCGTAAGCGTGGAGTTTGTTTCCTGACGTCTGAACAAAGACGGAGCTTCTGGAATCACGAGGTCGAGTCGAAGGCTTAAACCCAGTTCTGATATCAGAGCTCATTTTATTTTACATGCCATAAATCCTTTCAGTACTTTCACAAACAAAGCCAATAGTAATGGAACAGAAGATATAAAAATATAGTTCTCTCTCTCATTTTGGGAAGGAGCAGCCAATCAGGTCACCTGATCATACAGGAAGTTCAGCCCTCGCTTCGTCGTGTCTGAACCTGTGACGAGGTGCGTCAGCAGTGGAAGATCTGCTCCAGGTAATAGTCTGAGTCTGTGTCCTGCAGAGGGAAACCTCTGAGGTCAGGGATCCTCGGGCATCATACACTTCCTGTTTCGGACCTGAACCACTTCCATCCTCTCCTTCAGGAAGTTTCCGAAGGCTTCGGTCTCCTTGCTCTCCTCCGTCACTGAAAAATCAAACATCATACGTCCGAATGTTTATGAAATAATTTCAGGCTTCTAAGAAAATCAGGAAGCTTAATCCACGCCAACTCTTTCCTCACCGGCGTGGTCGATGTCGTCTGTGTCGCTGTCCACCGCCTCCTCGTCAGGATTACCGCGTGTCATAATGAGGTCACTGGGCCCGGCGATGTCGGCTTCATCTGCTGGCAGGAAGTCAATCGGTCAGTTAGAACTACAAAAACGTAGCATAATAACAGTTTAGCTTCATGGCGCCGGCTCTACCTGTGGATGGCGTGTTCCTCATGTCGACGGCTCCCAGGTCCTTCCGGAGCCGCTCGAGCTGCTCCTGCTGCTTCTTGCTCTGAGCGTCGGTCTGCAGGACAGGAAGTCGGTTCAGACAGGACGACGTGAGGGCGGAGCAACAGGGAGAAACAAAACGGAGCACTCACCAGCTCTTTGCGGAGTCGTTCGTACTCGGGTCGGTAGTCCCTGAGGAAGCAGGAGGAAGACTTCAGTTCGTCACAACAATTTGTTTCCTCCATGAAAAAAAAAAAGAAAAAAAAGAACCCAACGCTCAGCGTCGAGCTCCACGACTCAAAAGTCTAGTTTTTATTTTTGAGTTAAATAAAATAACTGTTACTGTTGCTAACCACCACACCATGTTTTACAGACTGTATACTGCTTATGTGGTTATATGGATACTGCAGCAAACAGAGTCCTGTGGTCATTAATTCAAAGTCATTATTTATGGTTTCGTGATGCACGCTCAGTCATCCAGGTCAGGAAATCACTGATTAACCCTTTAAAGCCCACCACAGAACCAAGTCCACTACAGCTTATCTTTATATTTTTACCTGCTGCAGTGCAGAAGTGTCTTGCCCAAGGACACAACGACCAGGACAGAGCTGGGGATCGAACTGGTTACAAGATGAGCTTCCCAACCCCCTGAACCACGGTCGCCCACAAAATATTTCTAGGTTTATCCCTCAAAACTTTAAATGCAAAAAGTTGCGCAACATACTTTCCAACTACAGAGGATCTATTCTGAGTGTCTTCATAGTTTAATTTTTGACACTAATTTTCCTGAAGTGCAGGAAAAACAAAATATTTTTGTGCACAACATGCAAAAAAAACATCAAAATAAACTAATTCATACAAAAGTGTGATTTAAGTTTATGGCCTTCTGTACAGTTTCTGGGAGGCTTTAAAGTCACACATGACTTTACAAAACTGCAGCAAACCTTTGAAAGGCCTTGTAAAAACTACGTTTCCCACAATCAACTTTCTGGGATTATTTATGGGTATTTGGCGCCCTCTAGTGGCTGACACCACACGCAGCGTCCTCATATTGCAGACACAAAGGACATTTAATCTCTTTACTATTCTTCATCTTTAATAGACTCATAACTTATAGGACTTCAAAAAAAACACTTCAGGTAAAAAATAAAATACAAATTAAAAACCTCTCAGCTTTATGAGGACCAAATGTTTTTATAACTCGCCTATTAAAACTGTATTAAAGGTTAAGGGCGACTGTGGCTCAGGGGGTTGGGAACCGGAAGGTCACCGGTTCGATCCCCGGGCTCTCGGTCCTGGTCGTTGTGTCCTTGGGCAAGACACTTCACCTGCCGCCTACTGGTGTTGGCCAGAGGGGCCGATGGTGCGATATGGCAGCCTGGCTTCTGTCAGTCTGCCCCAGGGCAGCTGTGGCTGCAACTGTAGCCTCCACCAGTGTGTGAATGTGAGTGGAATTGTAAAGAGCTATATAAATGCAATCCATTATTATTATTAAAGTTTTCAATATGACGGGTGTGGCCTCGCGATACAGGTGTAGCTTGTTAGATTTGTACTGCTGATTGTCATTTATGCTTAGAAATATCTACTCATATATGCTTAGAGTTGTATAATCAATGTCATGTTGGTAGAGGTTTGATCCTCTAGAGGTTTGAGCGTGGGAGAGGTCGTACCTGCTCTTATTGTTTTATGGTAGGATAAACGTGGCTATGTCAGTTTTAGGCTAAGTGCCTTTTGTTTAGATGGACCGCTAGACTCCTGGCACCAGCTTTAGGGAGTCTTCACAGGGTCACATCTTGCACTTGCACACACACAGTACTCTGTGTGTATGTAGACGTCATATGTTAATGAACCTATGTATATTCATGTGAATAAAAGGAGTGCTATGGGGAACCTGGCTGAGAGTCTGTGGTCAAGTGGGTGGAACGACACTTGGCTCCAGGCAGGTCTCTGCATGAGTAACACGAAGAACTTTGCCTACTTGGTGTTCAGTGCTTTTGCTGTGTAGTTAAATTGTCTCGTTCCAGCGGTGGGCCTGTGCTAGACAGACCCAACATAGCTGCTAGCCGCCAGTTTCCTAATCAAGTTTGCTACTGTTGGAGGAGAACTTCACAAAAAAATTAAAACAAAGATTTTACACGTGTTTCATTCAGTGTTGTTGTTGTTTAACTACTTAAATCATGTCAGGTTTGAGGTTTTATTCTGACGCTTTGAGCAAACAAAGATAACCTCGTGTTTTTCCCCTCTGGTCAAAAAGTGCCTGAATGTTTTAAAACAGCTGTATAGAGTCAGATCAGCTCACTGGGAACTCCTCATGCTAATGATCATGCATCATATCACCAGTGTGTCTGACTCACCTCTCGTACTCCTTGGCCGCGTCCTCCACCTGCATAAACAGCTCGTCTAATCCACTTCCTGTCACCGCAGACACGCCCACCACCTGCAGGTGCAGAGACTTTATCGCTTTATCCTTTTCTCTAACTTGCTCTGACCCATCAGTGCGTGAGGTAGTGTGGCTACATCCATCCTTTACATACAGTCTATTTAAAACCCTGTAAGCAGGTAAACCGTCAGCATAGCCTCTCCCTGTGTGCGTCACACAAAGTTAAAACTTTGGGGTTTAAGGATTTGCTAAGGGTCCAGTTTTTCGGCGGTCCCTCTCACCCTCAGGTTGGTGTAGAACTCGTCCAGCACGAGGCTCATGGAGCGCGTCAGGTTGCTCACGTACGAGGTTTCCTGGTTCAAAGCGTCCTGGAAAGCCTCAAAGTCCTGCATCCACTCCACCGCAAAGCTGTGGTCAATGATGTCGGTCTGAAAAAGAAAACCACGAGAGGAAACCCCGTCATCAGAAACAACCAGTTCAGCAATGAGCCGGCAGCACGCCGAGCGTCCTCACCTTGTTCATGACCACGATGAAGGGCAGCTTCGTCTTGTAGAGGATACTGAAACACAAAGAATCAGAGGACTTAAACAAAAACTCTGCTGACTGTCCTGATGGGATGCTCAGGTATATTTAGTGACTCATTTCAGGTAAGAACAAGGCCTCCACAATCCCCTGGCTCTTATTTTGAAAGTCTAGCTGCTGTCGTGTATCCCAAACGGCAGGATGATCGAGGGCTTCTGAAGTATCTCTGCAGCCTGCAGCTGGACTCCAGCTCCACCGACTTGGACTGGAGATGGGGGAGGACACGCCCATTTGCTGCTAGCAGAACTATAGTGACCAGCGGCGGTCTTAGAAAGTGGAGCTGGAGTCCGACTCCAAGGTGAGAGACTAACGGGAGGAGCAGCTGCTGTAAATCAGACCTCAGAGTCATCACGTCTCACAGAAAACATTAAAATGAATCTGATGTGGTTGGTGTTCGGTACCTGCAGGCGTACAGCATGTTGGACATGAAGGTGACGGGGTTGACGCTGCGGGACGTGTCCATGACGTAGATCACCACACAGGGGAAGGATGACGCCTACAAATGCACGCAGACGCTCTAAACGACTCGTCTTTATTCATAACTGAGACATAAAAGCAGACGAGCAGACCCACCAGAGCTTCAGTGATGATGGTTCCAGACGCCGACCAGGTGAAGACTTCGATCTGACCTGGAGTGTCAATCAGGACGTACCTGGAGCCAGAGAGACACCTGCTCATTCATGCTGTTGTTCAGTATGATGTTTATACGCTGCTCAAAAACATTAAAGGAAACTTTAATCAGGATCAGCTGCTTCGCTGTGAATGAAATGAACAACAGGTGAAACAACACTGAGACAACCCTGAACAGGACTGGTTTTACTGGAGGACATTTTTCCCCTTTTACTGTTTTTCAGGATTTTTGCATTTGGCTGTGGTCAGCATCAGGCCCGACCTGCACATCTTTACACAGATAGTCCGACTCCTGCAGGATGGCACATCCATAAGTGCTACTGAAGGTTTGCCGTGTCTCCCAGCAAAGTCTCAAGAGCATGGAGGAGATTCCAGGAAACAGGCTGTTACTCTAGGAGGGCAGCACTCCTAGTAACAGGAGGAACAGGATGAGCACGACCAGAACTACAAAGAGGCCTCCAATGAGTCACCGCTGCGAATGTCCAACCAATCAGACACAGACGGGGGGCGTTGTCGGAGCCTATGCTGGTGCAGCCTCTTATCTCGAGACTATGCAGGCCGTCCCTAGAGGATGAAGGAACTGATCCATGCACTGCCCCGCATCGCCCGACCTAAATCAGTAGAACTCCTCTGCGATGTTACGTTTCTCATCAGGACATCACCCCGGCGCCGTCAGGCATTCATGCAAACACGTGGGGGGATTCAAACTCCCGAGAATCATTTCTGAACTCCTGCAACGAAATCTGAACAAAACGGGCCTGCATCGATTTTTTTACTTTGATTTTGGGGCGCCTTTGAATTTAGCCCTGTGTAGGCGCATCATTTCAATTTCCATTACCCCTAACCTATTACCCTCAGTGAGATCTGCTGTGCTTTAAGGTGTTCCTTTAATATTTTGGAGTGTTGTGCATCACAACCACACACAGGATGCCGCTGGCATCCCTCACAATCCTTAAAACATTTAGCTGCAAATAAGCAGCTACATACTGACCGGTGATTCTGTCGCTTCTTCTCGATGAACTGCATCACCTGAAGAAAACAAACACAAAGTCAGCATCCGAACTGTTTGTCTGGTGTGAACATTCGTACCGCGGGATGTTGAGATTTGTGAGTCACCTGATCAAAACGGGTGGCGAACAAGTTGAGTGACGTCACGATGCCGCCGTTGGGTCCGAGGCCGTACTGCTTCATCACCTCCTTGTAGTTCACCGTGTCCCTGATGTCTGAAAGCAGGAGGACAGACAGAGAAAACTAACAGACGCTGAAGATGACGTGGAGCTAAAAGTCTTTCCGGCTCCGTTTGAGTCACAAAAACACGTGAAGGTTTATTTGCTTTCGCTGTGATGTGTAATGCAAATATTAAATGCACTTCTGGAAATCCAGCATCGCACATCAAGTTTTAAGTTCAGTTTGGTTTGAATGAGTAGGGTCCAGCAAACACATGGATCCTTACCGATGTTTGCAGGGAAAGGGACCTCGTGGACGGCGGGGTCCAGGTTGATGACATATGGAGGAGCTTTGAGGGAATGCAGGTGAGCCGTCAGCCTCTGCAGGAAACAAAAGTACTCAGATTACTCGAGACTGCGGCTCACTTCACAACAGGCAGACAAACAGGAAACACTGTTCATATGGAGGAAATGTTCTGAGGAAGAGGGGGGAAGCTGAAGATGTTAACATCAGCTGCTTAAAAAAATCTTCATCTCTGAGCTCAGACTGAAGGAGCAGCAAACATCAGTCACAGGGTGTCATTGGTTTAATTTAGGGACTTTATTAAGCTATTTTAACATTTATTGGGTTATATACAATTTAGTAAAGTTTGACTCTACTCTATATTCTATTGTTTTCTACTTAAACGTGCTAAGACTATGTAATCCATACCTTGCTGACCTAACTTATATTCTATTGAGCTTTTATGCTTTCTCTAAGTTATTTTATTAAAGGCTGTTGTAGGATAACTAACCTGCTGCCTCTCCTACCTGACTGAAATCAAACTGATTTTCTTTGATGCTAATGGGTTTGTGCGCGTTTTGGGGGCTTCCTCGGTGTGCCACAGAAAGCTGGTTGGTACCTGAGTTTTAGCTGAATTAAATAATTAAAAAAGCTCTCCCTCCTCCTCTGATGTAAACCTGCTCACACACCGGTACCTGTCGCTGCTCGTTTATTTACCTTTCGCTCTCTCTGAAGAAGCTAACTCATGCGGCTAGCTGCGTTAGCCGCTAAGGGACCGGGACTCACCTGGACGAAGGTGGTTTTCCCGGAGCCCGCCATGCCGAGCACGATGAGACACACGGGTTTGTCCCCGGCAGCAGCTCCCGGGACCCCGCTGCCACCTGCCGTCGCCGAACTGCCCCGGGTCTCCGGGAAAGCCGCATCAGTGCCGGGACAATCCGCCGCCGCTGCCATGATGCTGGAGGGATATTATAGTAACCGGCTGCCGTCCACATGCAGCCGCTGTCGTAAAATGGAAACGCGGTGTTCAAAACGAAAGGCAGAAGGCAGCAGCGTGTTTAATAAACCACGATGAAAACACAAGGAAACTTTATTAGAATATTTTACAGATAAATTAATATAAATAAAAAAAACACGTGACTGCAGAGAGTAAAATATTTCTACTGTTCACGGGTCTTAAAAAATTAGAAATATTACGTTTAGTAAATTTTAGTAGTTTATAATTTATTAGTAACACAGTATATAAATAATTAATCATTTCTATATTATATATATTTCTGTATTTTAAAAGAATATTGGCTTTACTAGTTTTATGTTTTGCAAATATTTTAAATAATTAATTTTAATATACGTAACTGGAATTTTCACATGTATCACTAACACTTCCTTTTTAAAAAAAATTATAAACCAATAAATACTTATTTTTCTCATTATAGTCTAGAAATATTCTGAAATTTTACTTTCCTTGAATAAAACTCTAAAAGAAGTAGATTCTTCGTCAAATGAAAATTGCTAGAAGTGTGGTGGATGATTTTCACAATAAGTCTCCTCCAGCAGTGGATAAAACTTCAACATAATAAACATTTGCATAAAAACAGATTTTGAATGTGTGGATTTTATATTTTGCTACATGAATGAATGTGAACGAGGTAAAACAGCCAGCCTTTTCAGTCATTTTATTGCAAATGAAAAATGTGAGCATACATGTAATTAAATCTTCAGTGCAGATTAAAAGTACAATACACCATCCATAAGCAAAAGCCTCATAATAATCAGACGATAACACAGTCTAACTCAGACAAGGGCACCAGTTATTCAATATAATAATCAAAGTTAAGAAGGAGAAATAATGAGACAAAAAATATGAAATAATAGGATACGACAAAAAAGAAAACATCAAAAGTCAGAGTCAGCTATCAAAAGAATTTAAAACATCAAAAAGTGTAAAAGATTTCTGATTATGGTGTAAAGCAGAAATTCAGTTTCCAGTTTAAACCAAAACTACAACAATGAAAGATTTAGAAATCTGACGACGAGCACGTTCAGGAGCTGCAGCTGAGCAGGATCCAGACTCACCGAGCCATCACTGCTTTTCTTATCTGTAGAACATTGTGATCTGCAGCTGTCTTCTATCCAGCGTTCTGTCCTTGACTTTTTGTTTTCTAAATGAGAAACTCTCTCCAAAATCTGTTCTGCAGCGTTTCACTGCAGGTCGCAGTCGGACGTGAAATACAGCAGTGAGCTCTCACAATCACAGTAAACTGAAACTAGGTCTTCAAATATATTTTACTCGACTGAAGTAAAACTAAAAACACTGCCTGAAATGATCCTGTGCTTCCTTAAGTGAACTTGAGATCGACCCATTTAGATCATTTCATATTTTTATTGTTTCAGTCTAGAGCAGCTTTGCATGAGTCACTATTAAAAATAATCCTTCTTTACCTTCTGCTGAACCTGGATGTAGCCACTGTGATGTCACCCTTTGTTTTCAGCTTGTGGAATTGAACAAATTATTTTACTGTTACAATATAATCTACAGCATTAACATTGCATTAACAGTATAACAGATGGCTTTAAGACGGCATTAAGATGTTTAGACATACAGGCGCCATATTAACCTTTATTCCAGGTGCAGTTATAACTATTTTTATACACACCCTGCAGTTTGTGCTTCTTAAAGAGTTGAAGCTCAGTCAGTTAATTGAAGGTCAGAAGCTTCATCCGGCGCTAGGTCCAGACGATCTATTGTGTAAGTGACTTAGAGCTACGGAAGGACACGCTTACAAAACATACATGCCATGTTATTCATTATTATCTTTTATTCGTTTATATCCTTTTTATTAAGCTTTGAGTAGTGGCATTTGATTAAAGCATTCATTCAATATATTCCGTATATAGTTTCAGTTAGGTTGTTACACATATGAGAGTGGCTTCTGTCTGGTAAGAGGTCATGAGTTTAGTTGGCGAGGTGAGACAGAGGGCATTTGAGGTCGAGACACACACATAGTAGGTAGACTCATTTCTAGGTAAGAGTTTGCAAGCTTGTAACTGCATTTTGGAGACGGAGAAAATGTTCTTTTCAAATGTGTCAGAAGTCATTAACAGAACATTTGTGGTTTTGAAACTTATGCATGTGAGGTATCTGCTTAACGCAACAGGGTGCGTAATAATACCCCGATGCTATAAAACAATTGCTTGTGTATTGTTAGGAGGAGATCGATGCTGATTGTGTGACAGCGGAGGAGCAATAATGTCAGTGACACAAACACATCGATGGGACCGTGGGCACGAAGTGGGCTGTATTATTACTGTGGGCATAACACTCTTTTGGTTCGTGTTCCTATGGGAAGTGTAGGAACGTGCGCAATGGTGAGATTAGGAGCTCCACTTGTGCTAATTGGGGGCAGAGCAAAGGTTATACCAGAAAGAAACACACGCACATTGGCAGCCAGGCGCAAGAGACACATTTTGGCAAAGAGAGGGACCGAGGGAGCACATGCCTACGACCCTACGATGAATTCACCCACCTGGATTGATTCCATAGGAGTTCCCAATGAATATAAATTAGCAGACCAAATAGCTTCAGGATTTGAAAGTATGTTCACATGGATAACACCGAATAAAAATGTTGACCGCATAAACTATGTCTATTATAATGTGCTGAGGCTCTCTAACCTGACCAGGGACGCCATGGAGGGGCTCGCGGAACAATTGGGTCCGACCTCGTTGATGGCAGTGCAAAACAAGATGGCCCTTGACATGTTGTTGGCGGAGAAGGGAGCGTGTGTGCCGTGTTTGGTGACCAGCGTTGTTTTGTATCCCTCCTCGATATCTGAAACCGTAACAAGCTTCAAGCTTCATCATTATTCTTTTCACAGTCGTCGTTTGTTTGTATCAGGAGTGTGCTGAGGTATCATCCAGCACTCCTTGTTTGATTCCCAAATTGCATGCGTTTACTAAAGTTTCAAACTGGAGCTCCGCCTCCTTGGACGCTCTGTTAGCAGTGACCTCACAGCGGCCATATTATTGGCCACATGACGTCATTAAAAATGCTCCAACAGCACAAACACGGTGCAGAGGTCCAGTTTAGGAGAAGCTGTTTGAGCTCCTCTGTCACTCAAAGCTAACTTTATAATGTTGTCAGTCCATGAGGATTATTTTGAACTGTGAATCATACAAAGCTACCCTAGTGACGTGTTTGTATGAAAATGAGATCTTTGTGTGTTGCTTTTTTCAGTTCAGCTCAGTTACTCACTCGAGAACAATCCATTGTGAACTGTACTCGAGTGAGTACTGACGTCGGGCTCTGCACTCTCTGGCCCAGTGTCCAAACTTGCTGCAGTAAAAGCAGCGATCTTTTCTCTTATTCCTGCGAGTCTGGCTGCTTCGAGGTGGCTCTGGCAGTGCCAGCACATCTGATCTCCACTCTCCCGGATGAGTTACAGATGGCTGATGTTTTGAGGTAAACGTGCCCTTTAACTCCATGTTTTCTAAAATAAATTTGATCTTGGAAAAAGTAAAAGTTTCCCACTCAACATGATCCTTCAAAAGCTTCGCCACGTGAGGCTGCAACTTATCTACAAGGTGAAGATTAAACAGAAAAGCATTTGCTTCACTCATAGTGGAATTCCACAGTCGGTGGAAACGTTCAGTGAAATCTGTCACCGACTCTCCGGGTTTCTGAAGAATCAACCAAGGGGGCACAAATTCAGGGTCATTCCAGGCTGCATTTTTAATCGAGGTGGCGCACTGTGTGTCGAGCCAGGCCGTCATATCACGAGTACGTCGCCACCTGGCCTCGCCATCCACTCCTGGCAAGTCAAAATGTTCCTTCACATTTTCCCACTTGTAGTTATAAACTAACTTCAGCAACTTTTTGAGCTCAGCAGGAGACGGCTGATACACCATGCAGGTGAAACGCAGCCACCTGTGGAAGTCGCTCGGTGTTTTGATGGGGTCAGGAGCATCTCTTAACAGATCGTAGAGCTCGCCTGGGGTCCATACGGCCTTTATGCCATCCACAAATTCTCTGCCGCTGCTCTGCTTTTCTGCCGTAGACCAGGTCGCGACAGGCGACTCTTTCGGAAGACTTCCCTCGTCCGTTTGCGTGCCTTTTTCCTCAGGCGACTCTTTCAGGAGACTTCCCTCGTCCGTTTGCGTGCCTTTTTCCTCTTGCGTTTTAACTTGTGGAATATTTGGCGGCGGTTGTAGTACTTTTTCAGCTTCGGGACTTTGGTACCCCTGAAGGAGCCAGTCATAGTTTAGCCCCACTTGTTGCAGCTCCTTGAATAACTTCTCCTCACTCGGGTGAGGTTGTACCAGTGTCACAGCAGAAGGAAATTCCTTTCGCTGCTCTGGTCTTTTGGGACCTTCAAATGTTTTCTGCCTCAGACGCTTTGAGCTGTTGGACCCCATGATGCTCGCTCTCGGTGTGCAGTGAAGGCTGATTAACACTCCAGGTGTTTATCTGAAACAGAATAAATGTTGATCAGTTTTGGAAACACACTCGTGATGTTCAGATTGGCACAGTTAACGGATAAATAAAGGCCGTCTCATCATCATCATCATCATCATAACCTGTAACCCCCATCGTGTAAAATGACCAATTAACATCCAGAAAACTTTCATCATGCCTGATATATTATGACATCATCATGACTAATATGTGTGTGCTGCATCTAAAGTCAAAGGTCACTCTTTCAAGGATGCCAATATTCACATTTTGGACAGAGAAGACGGAGTGAACGACCCTCTTTAGACGGAGGGCGGAGCTTATGACACCGACTGTCTGACGTTCTTATGGAGAACAGTAGAGTTTAAATACCAGGGACTCTCCACCGTTTGGTTTTACAGCTGCAGAAGCTTCTCAGATGAAACTTAAAGAAGTCCAGTGGCTTTTCTTTCCAAGAAGCAGATCTCTGCAAAGACCAGATTATGAACAAAGTGACAAAATTATTGGAACTTCCGATTATTGTGTCTTTGAGTGTTTTAATACCTTTGGAAAAGGGCGAAATAACAGTGCAGGGTCCAACGTCATGTGGCTAACAACGAGGAGCTGTGAAGGCAGGACAGAGAGAAGTTATCGCTCTGTTGTTGAACACAAACATGCAAAGCATATCTTATCCCACGCAGACAGCTTTCTGTGAGCACGCTCAACTGAAGCCTTAAACTTGTCCACTACAAACTCAGGCAGTGACAAGTAGTCTGATGACAGCAGCATGAAACTAATTCAGAACATTCGACGCGGTTTGCGATTCAGAGAAGAGAAAGAGGAAGTAAAGGATGCAGATTTACTGAAATAAAGGCACTTACAACCTGCTGTAAGAAATACTACCCCAGTACTCTTAGTCGAGTAAGTGAAAAAGTCTGAAGCCACCATTCATTTCTTTTGGAAGGTGTTTCAGAGAGAAACTGGCCATATTTTATCGTACCACCCACGACTCAGGGCAGAGTTCCCCAGTAATTAGCTTCAGTTTATATGATTGTAATTGTGTTTACCTACAAATACTTAAAGGTCAATTCATATTAATAATTGTACTACAAATAAATGCAAGTCTTTGGTTGGAAACAAAAAAATGTATAGAAATTGCCTTCCTACCTGTACATTTATCCTTTCTGAGGTCCTGATGAGTAAAGTGAGCGAGGAAGTTCAGAGAAGACAAAGGCTGATCTCATCTCAGCGTGAGGCTGGTAGATCCACACGACTGCTGTCGTTTCCTCTTCTAAAACACAGTAACAGAAAGTTTGTCCTCAGAGCGGAGCAGATGTGGACAAACGTGAATTAAAAAGTGGGTTCGGTTTGGCCTGAAATTTGTCTGTTTGCAGCACGGAGCCTCTGATGAAGACGCCTGCTGGAAAGTTACAGGGGCGGAGCTCGAACTGAGAGGCTGAACCATGAAACTATGAAAGTACAGACATAGAAATGAGCTGAACAGATTTTTGGATATCTGCAGTTCCTTTCATGCATGGGAAATCTGTTTTTTATTTTTTAAATAAAAACTGCAAACCATGAGGTGACAAACTGATATATGGTCCCTGTGCTGCAGGCACAGCTGAAGGGCAGTGAACGCCTTTGCTCTGTTTTCACAGGCTCCAAAACATTCCCAGCCTAAACTAGTTTGCAGTGTCTGCCTTTACAGATGGATTCTGTGCATTATTTTGTTTCATACCAAGATTCAGCTTTCGTTCGCCTACGTCCTGTTTTATATCCTTAACCCTTTGACCCCTGCGTGGAATACATGTGCAGACATGCAGGACCTCCACAAAAAACACAGAGTCCCGTTTCCCCTCTTTGCCCAGCGCCTCTCAACAGATACGACTTGTTTGCCTCTCCTGCTACATATTTCACGTTGAACTGTGTTTGACCTCAAAGGGGACTGGATTTCAGTACAAGTGACGTCTGTGATCTTTGTTTAGTGACGGGTGTAGAAAAAAAGTTTCACCTTCAGTTTGTTTAAAGTTTAAAGCGAGGGGCGAGTCCTGCGCTGCAGCTGCTGAGATGAAAACAGGAAGAACTGTTAACTGACTCAAATATGTCACCCTGTTATTTTTAAAGTGACTTTTTGTGACTTCCTTCTGCAAATTCTAAAATATTTTAATTCAATTCAATTCAGTTTTATTTATACACAACAACAGTCGCCTCAGATCTGAGCGCTTTATACTGTAAGCTAGACTCTACAATAATACATACAGAGAAAAACCCAACAACCATATGACCCCCTGTGAGCAAGCACTTTGGCGACAGTGGGAAGGAAAAACTCGCTTTTAACAGGAAGAAACCTCCAGCAGAACCAGGCTCAGGGAGGGGCGGGGCCATCTGCCTGTATTTTACCAGGTGCCTTTCATCTAAACTAGTTCAGTAGCTCAGTAATAAAACAGCAATAGTTGGATAATAATGTGAAAATAAAGACTCAGTGGGGTGTGGAGATTCAGAGACCTGATTTTTAGACTGATTACGTCACAGAGACGCGACGAAGGCTGTCCAACTTCGAAGACTCTTCCAAATGCAGCCAACAAGTGCGTCCTCCTTTTCCCAGATTTGAAGGATGTGTCGGGTGTATCCTTCGTGGCCCAACCTATCCCATAATTCATAGTGCTGCCCAGCCGATTCCAGTTTCCAACAATGGCGGCAGCTACTTAATTTTAATATTACTCTAATTACTCTTTCTGGAGAGAGAAAAGAAACTGCTGTACGTAGAGCAGCGGTCCACAACCTTTTTTGCGCCACGGACCGGTTTATGCCCGACAATATTTTCACGGACCGGCCTTTAATGTGTCGCGGATAAATACAACAAAATAAAACCAGTACCGGTACCGAAAAAAAGAAGATTTATACATAACACACGTGAAAAGACCCAGGAAAACAGAGTAAACGATAAAAACGATAACAAAATAACGCTGAGAACCGATAAAAACCCTGAAAACCACACATTTCACACCTGAGCCTCAACTCTCACGGCCCGGTACCAAACGACTCACGGACCGGTACCGGTCCGAGGCCCGGGGACCGCTGACGTAGAGAATGTAGCTGTGTAAACTTCAAATATCTGCTCGATTTATCAAGACATCACATATTTCTAAAAGTGCTCCGACATTTTCGGAGACGTCTGTTACCCACCAGCTCGATAGCTGACCGCGGCGATAACGGCGAACTCTGGGCACATCGTTTTCAACCCACCGGAGTTAAACATGATATATAAGTCACTCAGATAACTTAAAAATGTTATTTTTTCAGTGTTTGATTTGTTCCTGAGTAAATCGGTTTGGCTGAGATTAAAGTTCTAGTTTTCACACAGCTGAATAAACGTCAAACAGAAAACTGATTAAACAGAAGTGAGACGGTCGAGAGTTTACTCCAGTGTCCTGTTATATTGAGGAAGCAAGCAGCAGACGGCCGAGTTTCTTAAACTCTACAGAGACAGCGGTGACGCAAATCTGTCCAGCTTTTTCAGTCTTCAAAGGACCCGCCCACGTAGACCGCGAAGGCCGGGTCCTCAGGAGGATGCAGCCTATGAATTTGGACACAGCTAATAACAATGCAATGCCATGTAATCGCCATGGTAATAAGGCTACTTTCACGGGTCGCCACTGATGGTAGCTCTGCTAATTGGAAGTTTTATACCAGCTAGGGATCTTTGACTGTATGTGATTACCATGGTAACAGGAAAGAGCTTGATATGAATCTTGTAATATCAGGTGTGGGAATGTTAGTCACCGTCTGATTGACAGTTTTTATCAGGTGGCCCCGAGTGTCAGGTGTGCAGCAGCATGTTTAGTTGACCGATGATGGTAAGTTCTCCAGCAAGAGAGCGTCACTGAGCTGCCACACGTTGTCACGTTGGCAGCTCAGTGACGCTCTGTGTTGGATTTCTAAACAGGCTAAGAAGCTAGATCTTCTGGTGTCTCAAGCTAAAGAGTCCAAAGCTGGTCATGCTGTTACCACAGCGCCCCCACATGACAGAGAAAAGAAACTGCTGTATGTAGATGCTTGTGATTAGTTACAGAAAAGACACGACTGGACAAATCATAGAAAGAAACTCATTTATTGATAGTTAAATAGTAAAATGAAGTTTTCTTTTAAGGATATGTTGAACTGTTTTGAGGTGAGACGAGCAGCCGCACAGGAGTCAGGGAGGCTTTCACAATTTAAAATTAAATGAATCTGTCAGACTGAAGGGAGACATGACTTCACATCAGCACAAAACTCTTTCACATTATCACTGAACTCTCTACAGAAATAAAAACAAAGCTCTGACGGTACATCTAGACCACATTAAGTCATACAGTCACATTTTAAAGTTCACAGGTGTCTTTATATCAGGGGTGTCAAACAGGAGGCTCGGGGGGCCAAAAGTAGCCCAGCAAAGACTCTAATTCGGCCGGTGGAACAAGTGAAGGAAGGCATACATTTTGCCCTTTTAACTGTATTTCCGTAAGTTTGCAGCTTTTCTTACTGATAAAGACGTCCACCATCCACATTCATACTATAACACAGAAATAAAATAACAGAAAATCAGTTTGAGGGCAGAAAATTTCTTTTTTCAATAATGAGACTACAGTAAAAGTTTTCTGTGAATTAACAAAAACTTGGTGTTTTATAAGTACAGTGTGAGGAATGAGCTCTCTGAACATTTAAGCCCAAAGAGTCAGGCTGGCAGGTTTCTTTCTTTCCTGCAGCTGCTTTTATTTATCACGTAGAAAAACTGAGCTGTACTGTGCAGACTGCCCTTCTTGGTCTCATATGAACACATGTCAGGGATTAAATATGTACTTAAGCTTCTTTACGCTGACAGAAAGGCCACTTTCACTGGTCCGGGCCTTTTAACACAGGGTGGGCTGTATGTGGCCACAATGCAAACTGAGTCTGACACCCCTGCTTTACACCTTTATCCAGCAGAAACTGACAGTTTGACAAAAACAGCTTTAAAAATCTCTTCAAAGGGATCAAATCTGCATCATTACCTCACATGAAAATACAAATAAATAAAAACATGAACAATATCTCAAAGAAATATAGTGAAACTAAAACATTTCTTCACATTCATTCTCCTCTCTTCATTACTTTTTAGTCTCTTTAAAGCTAATTCATGTGCAGCTTCTTCATATTGTGCATGTGCCCAATACTGTCCTGTTTTGCATAGTTTAACATTTGATTCCTTCACAGCTTGAGGGGGTCGGACCGCTCTCACATCGCTCTGCTAAATGTGGAGCCATGAAGCTGTTTGCTAAGCTGAGCAGAAAAAGGTGCGTCTCTGTAAAGGCTCACAGCGTTTCTGCCAGGATCCAAACCAAGTCAGCTTTAGAGGATTTTCAGCCACTTGTTCCGAGCTCGAGCATCCTGACTTTTACTCTGCTGCAGGTCAGAGACCTCACCAGCTTTTTACTGCTCTGCATCCATCTGACAACAACATTAGTCACATTAAAAACATATTTATTTGAAGTCCCGACAGTAATTATGGACTCTTCCTTAGTAAACTCAGTGCATTTACATGATGCTGTTACTGACGGTGAAACAGTCGATCAGCTGACTGTCTCTCTGCTTCTTCTTTGGTAAATGAAACATACTAAAATCTTCCCTTGGACTCATCGTTGCATTAAAACTCGAGGCTTCGTGCTCAGCTAAGCTAACGTCTCCTGGCCTCAAATTTGCCCAAATGTTGAACTATTCATCTTCTGTTCACGCTTCCAGCCGCTCTGGCATAAAGTGAAGCTACAGCGGCACTCTGCTTTAGTGGCATTTCACATTAATCTGCATGTGCAAACTACTCAAAAAATACAATAAAATACAACAAAATAAATACTAAAGTGTGAAAGCACATCCTCGTGTCTTTGGTGAAGTCTCTGTGCTTCAGAGGTTAAACCTGCAGGTCTTACAGTTTTAACCGTGTGAGGAAAAAGAGACTTTTTAATTTTAAAAAAACATGGGAAGAAATCTCACTTTCTTTGGAGTTTCTGGTCTGTTGGTTGGACGTTTACTGAAAGGTGGAAACAAGCTGCTTTCAGACGAGTTATTCCAAGAAATAATCAAAAAACCTGACTGACTGCAGTCCTGCCTGATTTAAGTCACTCATTAAACTCTACAGAGCAGACTGACGCTCGGACGGATGATGGATCCGTCTTCATCACAACTCAGTTTTAAACAAAAAGAAATCACCACCAGTTTTCACTTGCAAGTAACGTCTGAATGACGAAGGAAAGTTACAGGTAGTTGGAGATAAAGTGCTATATTAAATAAGCTTGATATGTATTTGCACAAAGCAGCGCAGCAGCTGTAATAGTTTTCTGTCACACAGCAAAGGTCTGAGGCTCTTTGAGGACGTGAAGCCTCTGAGTCTGTCTGCGCTTTAGTGTTGGTGCTGTTTATGATTAAGACTCCAGAATGACCGATCACGGTTAGTTTCTCTCAACTATCCAGACCAAAACGGGCCTGGATAGTTGCTGACATATTGTGGTGTGGACTGGCAGCTTCAGGACAGAAAATCTTCTACTACTACTTACAGAAAACATTTTCACATGCAGGCAGAAAGCTGTGATAAATATTCTTATAGTGTAAGTGAAGGTGCTGCACAGCTATAAATGGCCTTCAGTGTGAGTAAAGCTTAGTTTCTCAGATCACTTAGTAATTTTGGGCCTTACACAAGTGCAGCCCACCGGGACTTCGATACGCGTCTTCTGGACTCGATATGTGTCTGCGTCCTTACACTTGGTCTTCATCAGGACCACCATCGGAGCCCGAACCTCCACAGAGTTGTAGTCGTTCACCTCGCGCCCGTCGATGATGCATCCCTTACAAAGGCACTCGGCAAAGATGATGTCACGTGGATACCTGCTGTCGTTTCGGTCTATGCTGGAGACACAGACAGACAGAAAAGACCTCAACACGTGCAGGAGACAGTGAACACACAGCAGATTCAGTCAGGACAATACGCGGCTTCTCAAATCAAAGCTCGTTTAATATTAAAGCTGGTAGCTTTCATCTGCTCGCTGGTTCCAGGTTGAACTTCCTGAACCAGCTCAGCAGCCGTCCATCCATTTCTACTCCGCAATAATCCAGCCTGCTCTCTGCACGTCCAAACTTTGGATCAGCCACCACCAGAGATGGGCAGTAACGCGTTACTTGTAACATCCACCATACCTGCTGCTGAACCAAAGCATGATGTATACCATGTTGGTAAATAAATAAAGAATTATTAAATATGTTCCAATTCAAATCGATTTTAGCCAGAATAACGCGTTATCGATTCATTAAATCCTGAATCTATTTTTGTCAGTCTCTGACCAAAATTCACTGAACCAGCAGCAAAAAAAGTTCCAAGCTACACTTCACATTTGTAAAACATCGTCACTGTTTCTCTCTTACTTTGACTGTTTTGCTTCCACCACGATACGATCTCACTTCCTGCACAGCTCTGTCTCTCTAAGTGTCCTTCAAGAACAGTTTCCCATCTCAAATCTCTGTTTTCTGCATTATTTGCTGCTTATTACGCACCAGTCTACCTGTGTGTTCAGTGCTGTCAGCCTCTGACAAGAAAGCCTGTTCAGTGCAGAAATGTAAACTTTTTAAAATGATGCCAAAACTCTTAGCTGAGTCTCTAATCACACCTCTGTAACTTCAGCAGCATCAAGTTCAGAAGCTGATTCGTGGTTTTCTTCCATTTTTGATTGGCTGCAGAATATTTTTAAGGTTATCTGTTAGAAAAAGCCAGACCAGGAAAATCTCCTTTATGTGTTTCTGTTTTAGCCTCAGTTACTTTGACACAAACGCATCTGTTGTGATGCTCACAGCTCTGATGAAGGGTCAGCCTTGTTTTTATACAGAGATTGAAAAAAAATATAGAATTAGAATATTTCTGACTGTCAGTCAAAATTCAGTCGAATCGATGATAGAAATTTGCGACAATACCCAACATTCAAACTTTCATTCAAACAGTAATGAGTGAGAGAATGAGCATTTTTGTCCCTCTGCGGGTTCCATACTTACTAGTAACGCCACGGAGACAGCGCGCGGCCGTTGAGTTCGTGCATTTGCTGGGCAGCCTGTTCGCAGGTGGTGAGCTCCTGGTGCTCGCGGGCGTCGCGCTGAAGGTCGAGCTTCTTCAGGTTGACGTCAAACTTTCGCTCGCGGGCCTTCACCTTCTCGGCGCTGAGACACCTGGAGGCGGCCGGGCGGAGCTCGTGCATTTGCTGGGCAGCCTGTTCGCTGGTGGTCAGGTTCTGGTGCTCGCAGGCGTCCACCATCTCGGCGCGGAGCTCGTAGAGGATCAGCAGAGAGAAATGCAAAGTGGCAGAAACAGTCAGAGAGAGCTTGGCGTGATTGGCCATCTTGACTTCGGACGGCTGAGACTGGCGCCGCTCCATTGAAGCTGCTTTAAATACGGTAGCGGAGCTCCTACGGCTGCCCGGTTGCCATGGGGATCTCCTCAACATTTCCTCACGACAAACAGTCCACGTGCGGCCCCGCCCCTCTGCTGGCTGTGCGCTGTGTTTGTGACCGCGAGCAGACAGCCTCGTACCTCTAATAAACTCCGCCGTGAGCTCTTTTTAAACATTTCACACGTTTCATTGTTGGTTTGTTATTTTAAAGGTAGAGACAGATGTTTATGTTTTACAGAAAAAGGTTTTATCGCCTGAAACGTGAATATTGTCAGGTTTTCTGCAACTGCTGCTGTTCTGATCCTCAACAGTACATCTCAGTGTTTACATGTGTTTACACAGTTTTTTGTTTTTTTTTGTTAATTCTGTGGAGCTGAACACTGCGGCTTTACACAAGACTGAATACAGCTAAATCTGACTTTCTGTAGCTTTTTATTAGCAGTGACTTTATTTATTCTTCACATGTTGATAGTTTCATGTTGACTTTTGGCAAAATGCAGTGACAACAGATCTTTGACTTTAATGTGTTTCTTTTTGTTGTTCCCTTTTTTTTGACCTATTGACCTATTCAAGGCTGTAATAACCTCATGCCAAATAATCTATTTTGCAATTAATGTTTGGAAAATATTGGATATTATGGGTCTCCCCCCCCCCCCCCCCAAAAAAAAGAACCAACAAAAAAAACAGGGGTCTTTATGACAATAAAGCCACAGAAACCTAAAAAATATTTAAAAAATAATGAAAAACTTTATACCTATGGTTAGGTCTGAAGTTGTTTAAAAGATGTGATGTGGAAAAAAATGAAAAATGAATTCATATATGATAATGCTATATCACCTGTTGGATGGGGACCCGTTTGGGTCCCGAGGGTAAACAGTGGATGTAAATTTTAAAAACTCTTATTGCTCCAAAAATAATAATGCATCCAAATCAATTTTGTTATCAATTATTGACCTATTCAAGGCTGTAATAACTTCATGCCAAATATTTTACTTTGCAATTAATTTTTGGAAAATATTGCATATTATGGGTCTCCCCCCCCCAAAAAACAGGGGTCCTTATGACACTAAAGCCATAAAAACTTTAAAAGATCTGATGTGGAAAAAAATGAAAAATGAATTCATATATGATAATGCTATATCACCTGTTGGATGGGGACCCGTTTGGGTCCAGAGGTTAAACAATGGATGTAAAGTTTGAGGGATGCTGAAGGGTTAAACGTTTGCAAAATGTATTAAACTAGGGTGACCAACCGTCCTCTTTTTTCTGCACTTGGTGATTTGTAAAAACCTTTATAACATTTTTTATTTCACCATTCATTAACTGCACAGAGACGGTACCGTGTAAATATGTTAAAGTTTTCTTTAAGAAAACAGTATTATTAAAGTTCTTCATGACTGGGCCAAGTGTCCTCTTTTTTGGAAATCAAAATATGGTCACCCTAATTAAACGGTCCAAGGTTCAAGTCCGCACTGTGCCATGAAACACCCGTATTCTCCTGTAAAATATAAATGTGAAATAAAAGATAAAACACATGAGGAATTAAAAAATAAAACGTGAGGTCGTTCCTGACTCTTCACATGGAAAAAAAATCCTCTTGAAGGTTTAAACATCTGGAAACGTCTCCTGCAATATCAGCATCAGGAACAGCAGCTGAAAAATGGCTGCTGCAGTTTTTACTATCTGCACACTGGATTCTCTTTGTGGGGGGACCGGTTCTGACGTCAGGGCCCCCCCAGGTCGTCATGAACTGTCAGTGAACACGCTGCTGTAATTTTACAAGATAGCAAGCAAGCAATTTATTAATATAGCACTTTCAAAACAGATCTCAGCTGAAAACAAAGTGTTGTGCACATGACATAACAAATAACAAAATGAAATAGTATATGTAAAAAGAAAAGCAAATTCAATCAGACAAAAACCATAAAAGGTCCGGGTCAGACTGTGTCATAAGCCAGGGAGTAAAAGTGATTTCTGAGACGGGCTTTAGAAGTGGACAATGATGGAGCACGAAGAAGCTCAGAGAGATAAGGTGGAGCAAGACCTTTAAAACATTTAAAAACAAGCATTAAAATTTGAAAATGAACTCATGCAGCCAATGGAGTGAAGCCAGGATAGGAGTTATATGCTCTCTCTTACAGGTTCTGGTTAGAAGTCGTGCAGCAGGATTTTGGACCAGCTGCAGACGGAGATGCAGAAGAAAGGAATAAAAATAAATGTTTTTTCCAGTTTTTCTTACAGGTGTTTTGGTTCAGGTCCAACACAAAGTGACTTTTTGAATATGAACACATGAACATGTGCCCACCCCAGTCAGAAATGCAGATGTTGTCATTTGCAGCCAGATGTGTGCACTTTCATTTATTACAGTTATTCTTTGCAAAAATTAATCACTTATTTGAAAAACTAGACATGCTTAAACCAAAAGAAATTTTGCACAAAACTTACATATTTCGTGGGCCTTGCAAGTGGGTGGAGCACAATGGCCTCATCGCACCGCTTATAAAACTGCAGAAGCTTAGCCCCACCGCTGTGTTTCAGGTAGGGCGCTATCGCTGTTGCTCACACATTTAATTCAACTTGGCACTGCCATTGTGGTACATTGCATCATTTGCATGACTCCTTCAGGCTGGGTCATTTAAGAGAGTGAAACTGTTTTTTATTGGCTCATTTATTGTTAGCTGTTAGACCTTGAGACACAGGTGACATCAGTTCCTGGGTAGACCCATCCCCTGCAGCTAATTTTAGATCCCAGAGTCATCCTGCTGAGTTCACCTTTAGGAATGTGGACTCCTCCCACATATTTGAATAGCACTCCTTGTTTTTATACTGCACTGCAGTAAATGTCACAAAGGAAGTAAACAAACCTTTAGCATTTATGGTGAAAATGAGTCACCTGCTGTGGGTGTGCACATGATTGATTTTACATCCTGAGGTTTTAGGCTGACCAACGTGGTCAGAATCTCATCAGAAAAACATTTGTGCCAAAGATAATAGTACCACTGTCCAATAGGAGTGTGCTCCAGGTGCTGAAGTAGATGTGAGAATTGGAAAGCAGGAAGATTGATTACGCACAGGAAACAGGGAAACACACAGGGTTCCCACTGCAGCCCCCACCCCTCTGCCCTGTCAGGAAACCCCCATCTGTGCCTGAGCTCAGAGTAACACTGTTGGGAATGCGTGCCTCTCTGATATCAGGGCGAAATGTTCTCACAGACCTAAGATGTCATTCAGCGCTATCCATTCCTCACATACATCCAGTTGAAGAAGCATCCAATGATTATCTGTGAGAAATTACTGATTGGTAAAAAGGAAAAGGTTACATCATGTTTTGGCCTGAAAGCTTCTGAGCCGATGCTGAAACAGTGCTGTTGAAGGTGAGTGATAATCTGTCACTCACAGTAGATTCAGATGATAATGCAGCCCTGAATCTGATGGACCTCAGAGCTGCTGCCTTCTTCGCCTCAGACACTGGGTTGGCATTGAGGCTGCAGCTCATCACTGGTTCAGTTCTCACTTTACGGGGAACACTGGGATCCATCCTGGGACCAGTCGTCTTGTAACCGTGTCTGCTTCCATTTGGTGATACCATTAGGAGATTAAACATCTGCTTTCATTTCTATGCTAATGATTTACAGCTTTAAACCTCAGGGTTCATTACAACCTCTACCAGGCTGTCCACTAATAACGTCCTCTAGTTAAGGTCCGAACTCTTCCACGGCAGCATTTTTAATTTCTCTTTGATATTTGGGCTGATTGGGACCTGATGAATGTAAAAACAAAGAATTACCAGATTGTTGTTTTTTTTACCTGATTTTTTTTTCTGAGAAAAATGAGACCCATATATGATATTTGTTTAGAATTTCGATAGAACAGTGGCAGCATAATGTCCTCGTAAGTGGATATCAGGCCCTTGTAGAGCAAAATTTAGTATTTTGGTCTAAATAACCCAAAATGTGATGTCCACATATGTGGACGCAGGTCCTAGGAGGTTAAACAGTGACAAAACTGAGGTCCTCTTCCTTAGTCCTTCCACGTCTTGAAGTAGGCTATATGAATGCAGCTTGTTAACTTAGCTAGAACAGTACAGTAAGATGCAGCTTAAAGCACCTGAAGTGGCCGAATGAGCTGAGCATCCAGACTTCATGATGTCAGAGAGGGTGGATATTCCAAATGCTGATGAAATGAGGGGCTGCTCATCAAAAGCTGCACAGAATTAGGATCTGGAACCTTTAAACACAACCAGCTATGCCTTGACTTTACATCTGAACCGTTTCCACACTTCAGTCAGAAACAGACTGAGTTACATATTTTGCACGTGTGATTTTGACTTTTAACAGCAGTTTTCCTGCTGGAGGCTCCCATTCACTGGTTGTTATTTACCTTGCTGAATGTGTATTTGTCAGTACTGTTTGAAGCAGTGGCGGTTTGCTATCGCCCATTTGCTGGGAGTAAGGGCGCCGGGGGCGGGGGACCTTCTCTGACCGGCTGGAGCAGCATCTAATAACCAACTCGCAAAATAAAACAAAATAAAAACAAACCAACAACCACGAAAACACCAGACATCATGATACAGACTTATAATTTGCACCGATGTTTTTTCTATAGGGAAAAGTGAGCGCGAGAGCCCTCGGTGCGCCTGCTCGCTGCTGAAGTCAAAGTAAACTTTATTGTCATCTCCGCTACATACAGTCCAGTATATATAGAGACGAGACGACGAGGCTCCAGTTACAGCAGTGCAAGTAAACAAACAATAAATATCAGAAGAGTAAGAAAATAAATCTACACTTTAGGACTCGGGGTAAAGGATCAATAATGAACAGAACAATCCGGTGCCACAGAAATGATCTGTGCTACTCCAAAAAATAGTTTGTCTGCTATAAAACAGAGAAGCATGTTACAGGCCTGACAGCCAAAGGTTCAACACTCGTCCTGTTTTCTAACAGGAAACAGCGTTTACACACACTCACTGGAATGTTTCTGGCCTTTTCAACTGTGACATTTAGCAGAGCGCTCATTGTTCTAAAACATAAAACAAAAGAAGACCACTCACTAGCTCACTATCGATATCCCTCTCTCCCCACATCACTCTCAAAACTTTCCCCTCCTCCTGAACCAAATGTCATGTTCCATACTATTTTTCTTTATTTTGTGTATTGATCACGTTAGTAATAGTAATGATCATTTTATCACTTAGTTATATACGCACAGTGGGATGCAAAAGTTTGGGCAACCTTATTATTCAGTATTTTCCTGTATAAATCGTTGGTTGTTACAATAAAAAATGTCAGTTAAATATATCATAGAGGAGACACACAGAAGTGAAATGAAGTTTATTGGATTTATAGAAAGTGTGCAATAATTGTTTAAACAAAATCAGGCAGGTGCATAAATCTGTTGTCATTTTATTGATTCAAAACCTTCGGAACTAATTGTTGGAACTCAAATTGGCTCGGTAAGCTCAGTGACCCCTGACCTACATACACAGGTGAATCCAATAATGAGAAAGAGTATTTAAGGGGGTCAATTGTAAGTTTCCCTCCTCTTTTAATTTTCTCTGAAGAGTAGCAACATGGGGGTCTCAAAACAACTCTCAAATGACCTGGAGACAAAGATTGTTCACCATCATGGTTTAGGGGAAGGGCACA